AGGCTGCAAAGGTTTGGGATCCCATTGCTCAGGATGCCCCGGGGCCATCTTTTTTATCTTTCTGTTTTTCCTTAGCAGTCAAAGCCTCACCCTGTCTTTACAATCCACAGCATTCCTGGAATTTTTCTTCTGGCCAAACTCACAGTATGGCAAATTATCCTGCTGGGCTCTTTGCTCTTGATTTGCAATGCAAAGCTGGCTAAAAGCCACCAACAATAGTCATGCCACAACCTCAACATCTGACTGCTTTGAAATTTTCTTTTCTAGATTAATCAATCCATTGTCCTTTGTTTTAGTCTCAAGCAAAGTCTCTGGACATGAGCAAAACGCAAACTTTTTGCCAAGCCATAACATACATCATGGGGAGTCCAACAACCAATGCAGTCCTTCTTCCCAGCAGAAACCTCCCAATCCTGGTCTTTACCATGAGGCTTTCTATCAGCATTTTGATCTCCTGAGCTTTGACCAGAATCTCCTCTATACAGAACAGCCTAAGCTGCTCCAGCTCTACATATCCAGGCAAAATGTCCAAACCTTTCCAAATTCTGCTCACAAGCCACTTTTAAAGCTTCTCGAAAAACATGGCCCGGTATAATCACAGTAAACAACCCCACTCCTGGTACCAAATTTTGTCTTGATTACTTTTTATCCATAGCTGAGGCAAAATACATGAAGCCCAAAGTTGGGAAAGGAAATGTTTATTTTTTACAGTTTTTGGAAGTTTTAGTTTATACTTAGTTGGCTCTAAGGCAGAGTGGCATGGCTGGGCCACAGTTTATGGCAGCTGCAAACAGCAAGGAAGAAATAGGCAAAAAGAGCGAGACACTTTTTTTTTTTTTTTTTTTTTTTTTGCCATTACATTACATCTTGGCTCTACCCCTGGGCCAGTGTAGCACTCACACCCCCAATCCAAGAACTAGACAATGAACCAATCACAAATGCACAATGCAAATACATGAGGCCTGGGGCCACCAACATAAACCATGACACTTACTAAGATTTGTACCTAGACTATGTACAAAACCTCTTACAACTCTATTTTTAAAAGCCCAAAATATAAATAATTTTAAAACCAAAATAAAAGAGAGATGACAGGAAACAAGGAGATTGACTCAATGAAGATGGGAAGGAGGTCTGGGATAGAAGGGACAGGAGAAGGAGGTTGGGAAGGGAAAGGGGAACTAACAGTGATTAACACGTAATGTGATACGTATCAATTCTCCCAAGGTGATTGGAATCATTTTATATCACAGACATATGCTACAACAACAACAACAAACATACTAAAAAATCAAATAGTCTAATCTAAAAATAGACACAGGATCTCAGCAGACATTGTCAGCAAAGATATAGAAAAATATGTACCCTGTTACACTGCTAATGGGAATATATAACAGTGCAGTCACTTGGGGAAAGGGTCTGACAGTTACTCAAATAATTATGCATACATTAACCATGTGATCCTGCAATACTATGGCTAGGTACATGCCAATGGCTAAGTACAGGTAAACAGATTTTAATGGCTACGATTATGTAAATACAGTTTAAAACAGATGTGTAGATAAAACTTATACAAAAATATTTCTAGCAAAAAACAAAATATTTGTAACAGCTTTATAGGAGCCAAAAAACAGCAACAATAAAAAAAAAAATCACCAAGTGTCTAGCAATGGATAAACTAATTTTTTTTCCTTAGTGTTGGAAACTGAATCTAGAGTCTCATATACAGTAAGCATGAGCTCCATTACTGACCTACACTCTCAGCCAACACTACTAATTCTTAAAAGGACCCAATGCCAAATATCAAGGGAGAGGGGATTACAGGGTTGCTCATTGGATACAGGGCTATAGGGAATCCTTGCGGCCATTCTCCATGGGAAAAGGAAACAGGGAGTCCAACACTGGCCCATATATGTTAAGTCAGAAGACATAGGACAGTACATCCTGCCTCCCAGAGACAAGTGAGGTCAAAGTGGTAAGCTGTCACACAAGTGAGGTCAAAGTGGTAAGCTGTCACAAGGTCAAATCAACCAACCTCCAATTTACTTTTTTAATCCCACAGATACTGAAAGTTGGGGAATTTTCTCTTTTGATTTAATAACAGAATGTTTCAATTTGCATTATTCCAGTATAACACCAAAAACTGTAGGTCCAAAATACAAGTTTAAGAACCCAAATGGCACAAGAAATAATAATGCAAAACAAATGGAATCATATCAAATGAAAAAGCTTCAGCATATCAAAGCAAATAGCCAATAGAACGAAAAGACAACTTAAGGGAGAAAATTTTTGCCAGCTACTCCTCAGACAAAAGCACTAATACCTAAAATATACAAAGAACACAAACAAACCCCCCAAAATAAAAGACCCAGTCAAAAATGGACATCTGAAATACAGTTCTCAGAAGAAATATGAATTATTGATAAACACATGAAGAAATGCTCAGCTTCACTGGCCATTACAGAAATGCAAAATAAAACAATACTGAGATCCCATCTTAATCCAAAAAGAATGGCTATCACCGAGAATTCAACCAATGACAAATGCTATAGAGCTCAGGGTGAAGGGGAACCCTTCTACATTGTTAGTAGGAATGTAAACTAATACAGCTACTGTGGAAATCAGTATGGAGATTAAAACAAGAATTTAAAGATTAAAACTAGAAATTTCATACCAGCTATACCCCTTCTAGAAATCTTCCCAAAAGGTTTAAAGATATCATATTACAGTGATCCACGTATAAACACGTTTATAACAGCACAAATTATAACAGCTAAATCTTGGAAACAGCCTAGATGTCCATCAACAGATGAATGAATAAAGAATATGTGGCAGACATAATGAAGTACAACTCTACCATAAGAAAAGATAAATTTAAGTCATTTGTAGGTATGTACCTCAACACCACAATTTGAACAGGTAGGCACTTCAAGACCACAATTTGGACAGCTATGCACCTCAAGACCACAATGCTAAGTTAAATAAATCAGACACACATATTAAACATCACATGGGTTTTCTTGTATGAGAAACTCAAAATATAAATGAAAAGCAAAATATAGGATAAATAATAGGAAGCAGATCTTTTTCAAACAGGAAGGAAATAAGAGATGGGACAGGCAGGGGCAAATGGGAACAAAAGGGGACAAAAATGAATCATGATGTGTCATGTATGTGCACAAACTCCTCATGAAAAATATAATCATTACATACTACAAACATGTACTAATAAAAATAATAATAAGTAAATAAATGTAGGTTTAACTGTCATGGTTTTGACAAGAAAATATTACTCTGCATTTACTATTTGACAATTTTAATAAAAAAAAATAGACGCTAGGGAAAGAAGAGTATTTAAAGATATTTACAGAAAGAAGCTGTCAGGTTTCAAAGACAATGAAATTCTTTAAGATATGGAAGTATCCTTAGTAGTTCAAGAGTGACTCCAATAAAGGACAAAAATTCTACAAAATGGTCCTTAGAAAACCCTGAAAAAAATGATGCGTATTTCAGTGTTTCCCATGCACCAGGGACCTTTGATGAGTTCAGTTATCTGAGGCCAGGTGCCAAAGGTCATACAATAGAGGACATAAGCAGCTATGTGGAAGCAGCTGCTAAGGCCTGCTCCCTCAGCAGAATCAGAAGCTCAGAGCACTGTAGGCCTCTAGGATGTAAAGCCTCTTTACTAAGATAATTTGACTCAACTCCAATAGCAATACAGCAGAACATCAGGCAACACAGCACTCACAAGCCCATACAGGTATAGAAATGCAACAATTACAGAGAGCTGCAAGGAAGGAAAAAACAAAATTTTTGACACAAAAAACTCTAATTTAGCATCTCCATAGATCATCCAACTTCAGCTTGAATTCCTTCAAGTGCTAAAGAAAACCCAAAAGCCATTGTCAGGCAGGCTATCCTAAGATTAAAATTCTCTGTTCAGTTAAAATCCATTATTATGGCTTGTGTAGAGATGCCTCCCCAAAGCCTCATGCAGTCATAGGTGGGGCTTTTTCAAGGTGGCTGGATCTGGAGGGAGTGTGTGACACTGCAATTGATTTATGGGGCAATGCTAGGGTCAATTGATTTATGGGGCAATGCTAGGCACTAAGATGAAGGGTGTGAGTGCTCCCTAACCAAAGTAGCCTGGATAAGATATAAGGTAGAAAGAGCTGTGATTGTCCCTGTCTCTCCTCTACAATGACCTCCTGCATTGGAGCCAACTGACTGCACTGAAACTTCTACAAACTGTGAGCCAAACAAACCCTTTCTCTCTTAACTTGTGTATATTGGGTATTTTGCCTCAGCAACAAGTAACTAAGACATCTATCTTCACATAACTTTTCCAATAAGCCTAAGATTCTTTTTCTAAAGCAACAACCAACATGTTTATTCCTTTAACCAATTAGGAATCCACTGAGTACCTGGTGATTACGGTACTTCTGTCTTTCTGTAGGTTAGATCCAATGAATAATCTAGCTAAATTATTCAAGGACTCCTTCCAGAACTATGACCATTCCTTCTGCCACTTCTGGAAACATTTTACTATGTTGAAACCACTCTTCAAATATACATTTGCAATTGAGAACAGTAAGTAAGTGATTAGATCATAATGCTGTAGAGTCATTAACTTTTGGCTATCGATCTCATTAATCCAATAAATATTTTTTTTTTGTCCTTTTCATTTTTATCGGTACCGGGGATCGAACTCACGACTGCCTGCTTACAAGGCAGGCGCTTATGCCGCTGAGCTAAATCTCCAGCCCCCAATAAATATTTTTAAGCAACTATGTCACACTGGTGGAACCTTTGGGTTTTCATTCAGTATCACTAAACATCAATAGTACCTTATTGGTAATATCAGTACAAGAACGATTTACTTTTAATTTTTTTTTTCATAATTGCCATCATCTCAAGCATGACTATTGTTAAGGCTATGAAACTTAAATAAAGGTGCATTCAAATACTGAACCTAAATAAAGGTATGTTCAAATACTCACTTCGTTAGTGGAACAGCTGCAGCCCCTTACACCTCCTTCAGTCTCCACTGACCACAGAGAATGTCCAATCTAGACCAAACACAAGGTTCTTAGGGGTGTTCACCAATTGCATCTGACACTAAGCATTCAGTACCTTAAGAAGACTGTCTCAAAAAGAATCACAGCTAGGGATTTTAAGGCACAGTTTGACCCTGAGGAGATTAACAAGAACTGTTAAGAGACTTGCACTAACTTCAACTGAAAAAAACTGATATTTCAAAGTGAAGAGAGGCTTCTGAGCAGAACTTAAGCAGAAGAAAACAACACATGAGGAAATTACTTCCAGGTATCAGAGGCAGGTTCTAACCAAAGAGCCTCACTACCCACAAAGCAAAGGAGCTAACAATTTGTGCCTGGCTAGACTTTAGAACTGCCCAGGACCAGCAACTGCAAAATGCTACCCATCCTGCCCCTCTTTAATAGGATTGTCTACTGCAGTACCCGTCTCACCACTTTATGCTGGCATGTCTTCTCAGCTCACAGGTTTTTTTCAGGAGGGGCACATTCAATTCGGGTAAGATGTGGAGTCTAACCCTGTCCATCCTTTTTCGAATCTGAGGTGACCTTGGGACTAGTCGTGACCAACAGAATGCAGCCAAGGTGATGTGTAACTCAAGAAACCTTGTACTTTCAGCTTTGCCCTCTGATGCCACTCTGTACAAACCCCAGGCTGTTCCTGGTAGAGAGCAGTAAAAGAGGACCCACTGCTACCCTACTGACTGCTCTGGGTAACCAGTAGGCACCTGAGGCACCACACTTGAGGAAAGAAAACATCCAGTTAAATTGCCTAATGACTGGCTTTGAAGCAAGAGCACTGGAAAGAGAAGAGAGGAGAAGAGGAGTGGGGAAAGGAGGGGAAAGGAGGGGAGAGATGGGGAGTGAAGGGGAGTGGAAGAGAGAGGACGGGAGTAGAGAGGAGTGGAAGGGAGAGGGGAGAAGAGGCTGCCAGCTAACTCTAGTACAAGTAATAAACTCACAAACAAATAACTGTTTTAAGTTACTACCTTTTGAAATTGTTCCACGTCAACAGACAACTGAGACAGTGATAAATAATGGTACATTTAAAATGGGCAGGATTGTAATTTGATTAAATATAATCAGAAACTCATTGTTTTTTTAAAAATATTAACCTGAAGACAAGAATTCATGTAGCTGACATGAATGTAAAATAGCCAGACTATCTACTACAATTACTATGTCTCACATTACTACTGAAGAATAAAGTGACTATTATTAGAGGAAATCATCAGAATCCTTTCTAGGGCTATCCAAGCTGCAGACTGAAAACAGAGGAGCAAAATCAAATTATAAATGTAATGACATCTTTTTTTTTTTTTTTTTTTTTGGCATTGGGAGCCCAATTCAGGACCTTGCACTTGCCAGGCAAGTGCTGCACTGCTAAGCTATATTTCTGGCCCCATAAATGATACCTTTGATGGTATAACAGGGAAACAAAACAGTGCTATGGTCTGCATGTTTGTGTCTCCCCAAAAGTTAAACTCTATCACCAAAGTGATGTTAGACTGTGGCCCTTTGGAAAGCAACTGAGCCCACCCAGAATGGCATGAATGCCCTTAAAAAAGGGTGCCAGAGAGCTGCCTTTCCTTTGCGCTGGAAAGGCACCATCCATAAGGCTCTTATAGTACAAAACCTGCTGGCACTGTAACCCTGGACTTGCAGCCTCTACTCACTTCTGCCAGTCATAAATTACCCAGTTCAATGTGTTTTATTAAAGCAGCCTGAATAGATTAAGACACATGATTAGCAACCTTGATTCAAGGACAAGGTTTTTAAATTTAAGTTCAATTAAATTCAGGATGCCATAGAAATTCCTCCAACTTAAAACTAAGTGAGAATATTAAATTGTAGACTTCTTTTAAAAGATTACGGTAGTCACTCCCTCCATCCTCAGAGTGTAAGTCCCAAAGACACTCTATGGATACCTGAAATCAAAAATTACATATACTATGATTTTCCTATATATAAATACCTATAACAAAGTTTACTTTATAAATTAGGCACTGTAAGGGGTTGGGGGTTTAGCTCAGCGGCATAAGCACCTGCCTTGAAAGCAGGCAGTCGTGAGTTCGATCCCCGGTACCGGTAAAAAGGAAAAAGACAAAAAAAAAAAAAAAAAATTAGGCACTGTAAAATTAGCAACTAAAAATAAACACACCATAAGCATACACTGTGATAACAATTATAACTTATTGTTTACTTGTGGAATTTTCTATTTGATATTTTTCATAATCAATTTGACTGTGAGTAACTAGCAAGAAGAGAAACCCAGAATAAAGGAGACCTATAATATTTAAAAAGTAAAATTAGGGCTAGGGATATAGCTCAGCAATACAAGTGCCTGCCTGGCAAGCACAAGGTCCTGAGTTCAATTCCTGGAAAAATTAAATTAAATTAATTTTGAGGCCCAAACAAAAAGGGACATGGTATTGAACCTTAATGTTAAATTGTTCTGTGGGAGGGGGGATTCATATGCAGTGACAACGCAGTACACAACCTTGCCCAGTGATCTACAGAAAGCACTTAATTATTTTTAACCTCAATTTCTTCACTCTGATCTGCCCAACAGTTACTAATGGCATTCCAGAAGATCCAAAAGGAACATGGAAACATCACCAAATTAATATTAATACCAAAATCAACATCTAATAAAAGCCATCACACAATGAACACTTTCCACATGATAAATGTATATTAACTGAATATTATTAACAAGTCAATGGAAAGTAGTTTATTCTATTAGAACTAAAAGTTAAATAACTTTCCAAGAACTCATAGCTATTTAGTGATAAAACCAGGGCCAAGATTAGATCTTTTTGAAGTCTTGAACCAAAACTTTTAAATCCTACCCTGATTACCTTTTCCTAAGAGTCCCAAATCTAAACCCACATAAAAAAACAAAGTGTACATTTTGGCCCACCAGGGACACTGAGGTCTAACACCAATTCTGCATCACCCAGTCTTAGAAGGCAAGAGTCTTAGAAGGCAAGAAAATATTTCAACCACTTATTAATCTCTTCCTAAGACTGAACTTCATTTATCTGTCTCTTTTCATGCTCATTCGCAGAAGCCTGTATTACTGACTGATCCTGGTTACCGAACTCTGCTTTTATTCACTGAAAAAGCATGGCTGCCTCCAAATTAAGAGTACTATTCAGAGATGCGCCAACATCTGTTCAGTGAATGAACAACTAAATAGAAGAATGAAGAACACAGAACTTTTTGATAAATACATATTTGCTATGTAAAAAAAAATATTTTTCTTCTAGCTAAACATCACATTTTAACAACTTAGAAGTAGATCACCAATTTCCATAATATCAGTAATCTATTTTCTGCTAGATTACTGCAGAGTCTCAGGCTGCCCTCAAACTTGAGATCCTGTCACCTCAGCTTCCCAGAGTGCTGGGATGATAGGAGTCTTAGTTACTTTTCTTGTTTTTAAGACAAAATACCCAACACCCAAAGTTAAAGGAGGGAAGGTTTATTTAGCTCACATTCTATAAAGGTTTCAGTCCATGGTCAGATGGCTCCAAGGCAAGGTGGCATGGCAGAAGGACATGCATAATAAAACCAACTCAAAATACTTAAAAGCAATTCACTGTGTATAACACAATCTCTGGAATAAAGTATGTGCTTAAAAAACTGAACTGATTCCAGCAAACAATTTTACAACAGCCAAAAGATTCAAGTAAACACTGTGGTTACATCACTTAAGGAGACTATATTCAGAAATTATTTCCATGACATCGTTAAAGTGAAGATGCTTGCAAAAGTGTTTCTAACATGACCAGTGAAGCAAATGAAACATTAAACAATGAGGAAAATAATGAAAGTTACCTTAAGAAGTTAGGATGGAAAACAAATGTGAAATAGTAAAGAAGATTTGAAGAAAGATGATCATAAGGTAAACAAAAATGAGCCCAGGAACCTTTTGAGTATCAAAGCTATAACCTTAAAACAAAAATCACTTTTACATAAAATAAACCAAAAAAAGACACTAAAGCATTAGTGGTGTGTGCCTGTTGTTATGGCTTGTGTCTAAGTGTTCCCTCAAAGCTTCATGCAGTCAAAAGTGGGGCTTTTTGGAGATGGTTGGATCTAGAGTATGAAGCTGGGATTAAGGATGTGAGGCTGGGACTGATTTATGGTATGATACTACAATTAAGGCTGTTCCACCCCAGGTAGCAAGTACTACCTGCCTTAAGGGTTTGTAGCCTGAACAGAATACAAGGGGCAGAATGTGAGCTGTTTTTCTGCCTTGTCCCTTGCTGCTTTTGCTGCCTTCTCCCCCTATGAGCATCTCTCCTTTGAGACGCCTCTTTTCCACACCACCTTGCTTTGGAGTCATCTAATTACGGACTGAAACCTGTGGAAAATGTGAAGTAGATAAACCTTTCCTCCTCTAACCTTGAACATTGGTATTTTGTCTCAATAACAAAAGTAACTAAACCACCTATAATCCCAGCACTCTGGGAAGCTGAGGCAGGAGGACCTCAGGTTTGAGACCAGCCTGGCTAATAAATCAGCCAGTTGCTAAAGCAATTTAGCAAGACCTTGTCTCAAAATTTAAAAACAAAATTTTAAAAGGGCTGCAGATGCATCATGATCTCGGTTCCATCCCTAATAACACCAAAAAAAGGCAGAAAACAAAAAGGCTACTACAATGTAAACTTCACTTTGAGAAGAGAGAAGAAAGATGGATACAAATGCCAAGAATCTGGGACAAGGACAGTGCCCTAACCAAAAAAATTAAATTAAATTAAAAAAATCATACCGAATATGTGGACAACCGAATCTTCGCGGACACTTAAAGAATCTTTAGACTTGAATAATTGTTTCCTGAGTGAAACAACTTACAAAAAATAAAATATATTTACATTTTTATACTACAATGAATGAATACTTAAAAACTTCTGGGTTCAGAATTACTTCAGCAATTAGTATGAATGTTAGAACAGAAAAATTCATAGCAACAACAGATGTCACAAAAAAGCAATCTGCGCTAACAAGACAATATCCTGCCCTACCAAGACAAAGAATCTAGTATGAAACAGGCCAGTGAAACGGATGATCAAATAGAAAAGTAAACAGCCATACTGTCAGATGCTAAATAAACAGCATCAACAACTATCTGAATTAAGAAAAGCTAATGGTTTCTTAATGTTGTACCTTAAAAATATTTTACAATTACACTCATTTGGCAAACTATGAGATATCCTTTTAGAATTTCCCACAAGATATAAGTGAATTCAACACTAAGAACTTCTGGGAGGGATAAAAAATCTTCTTTAAAAAGGCAATCAAATCATTCTGTAAACGTATCAATGGCACAGGCCAATTGTACCACATTTTTCTAAGTGACACTGGAGACAACAGAATAGTGATCGAGTCTATTCTGTATTTCTACAAAGTGAGTTGTCAATCACAACCAGGTTCATTGCATTAAGACAACCCTTCATGAAGTTATCAGACCTCTTCCAGGATTCTCAATAAGGGAGAAAACCAAGTATTAAAAAAAAAAACTATGCAAACCTAATATACCAGAAGTGACACTAATGTCACCACAAACTGGAGCTACCATTTCATTTTGTTCACAAATTAAAGGCACTATTGCACAGGGTCAGGGGAGATTAAGAAACGCCTCGCTTAACCAACAGCTGGAAGCAAATTACACTTGTTAAGCAGTTACACTCTTTAAGAAACCCAGAGTACCTTTTAAAAGACAATTTGGAGGGTGCATTAATTTAAGGGCAATAAGGAACCTCCGGCCGCCTTCCTCCTCCTGCGCCAACCACTTGGAAGCTGGGGATGCTAAGATCGATCCCAGCGGCAGGCAGCTCCTGCGGGAAATAGTATCCTCAAGCCTCCCGAAGCCAGGTGACGTACTAGGAGCTCGGAAAACCTCCCCTCTGCTCCCTCGCGAGGGGAGCTCGGTAAGAAGTCGCCATCCACGTGCACTATTGTTTTCCACGGAGGTTTGTAATTTTTATCTCGAGCTTTGATTTCAGTTCCCTCAACCTTGGCCTTTCGGGGAGGGGCTACTGTTGCTGCCGGCCTCCGGGCGCAACGAGAATTTAAATACGGAGAGCACCCCGTTTCCTCCTCACCACGGCCGCGCCGTGCCGCACGCGCGCCTCATCTCCCCGCCGCCGCGGGTCCCGTGACGACCCCACCAACCCAGCAGTCCGCCAGCCCGCGTCGGCCGGCCTCCCCTCCGCGGCTGCGACTCCACCACCCCCTCAGCAGGTGAGGCGGGCGACATTCTGACGCGAGCCTGGGGCCACCTCGCGGGGCCCAGGCTCCTCCGTGGGCGCCGAGACGCCGCGACCCTTGCTCACCTTGAACGGGTTATTGAGATCCGGGTCCGCAAACGGGTTACTGTCAAAATCCGACATCTTCTTGCGCTCAGCTTCTCCCGGCCTAGGCGGAGAGAGCCAGACTAGGCGAGGCCGCCGCCCCCCTGCGCGCTCACGTCGCCACCGCTGCCGCACAGCTCCCCGCGCCGTTGGGGCCACCCCGCCGGCCGTGCACTGCGCATGCCCAGCCCGCAGCCTCTCGCGTTGTTCTGTCCTGATCTGGCTCTCCGGGCTTTGGCTGCGACCGCGTTGGGCGCGGGCGGAAGGAGTTGAGGACGCGCACGGTGGCGCGCGGGGCTGAGCGTCGGGCTGGTGGGCCAGGGTCGGAATCCAGGCTCAGGCGAAACCCGCTTTTGAGCCGGGTTTCAGGAAAGGGGGCGCCGCTGAGGTCAGCAGAGAAAGAATCCAGGACGCTCCTCGCTGTCTTGCAGGGTACCAGGCTTTGGCGCCTCCCACGGTCTCCGGACACACCAGGATCCAGCTATCCAGCCCCTGCTCTCATCCTCTGCCCACCCGCGTGGAAGAGGTGCACGGAGAGGATAGGGCGGCAGAGCCCCGCAGTCAGGAACCTCGGGTTAACACGACCCCAAAAGATACCTGCTTTACTTCAGATGTTTGGATGCAGTACACACACACACACACACCCTCACCTGTTTTTGTTTTGTTTTGTTTTTTGGTTTTTTGCCTATTCTTTGCCTGACACCAGGAATGAGATAGGCAAATGTGTATGTGTAAGGAAGCTGAATGCATACTTAGTTGAGCGACCCCTGAACTTTTGACAGCATCCTCTTCCACTTTTGACAGCATCCTCTTCCACTTTAAGGCGAAAGCACCTAACATTAGACCAAGCTGTGAAGAATCATAGTTATTTTGTCTTGGTGGGTGCCTAAGAATTGGAGGAATCTAACCGGATAAGATAGTCCACACCTGTAAGCCCAGCAGCCCTGGGAAGGCCGAGGCAGGAGACTCAGGTCGACTTTGAGGTGGACCTGGATTACATGGTGAGTTCAATCTAGCCTGAATCACATACTGAGACCCTGTCAAAGAAAAAAAAAAAAAAACAGGGAAGAATCAAATTTAAACTTACTTGACCTTCTGAAGGTAGGCTTGCACTATTCAGAGTCACTTAGGAAATACTTTCTTGGGAGTGTGAAAATAAACTAGAGATGATGGAGTAAAATAAACCACATGTGCTGTCTTTGGTGGGATCCAGGTTAGCAGGACAAACCAGCTGCTTTCTGGACAACTGACTAAATGTTTCAACTTGCTAACAAGTGACAACAATCTGATCCTGGTAGAACTATAACATTCTAAAATTTTTTTTGAGGGAGTCTTTTTGAGACACGGTCTCACTATGCAGTTCAGGCTGGCCTCAACTCGAAACAATCCTCCTGCCCCAGCCTCCCAGTGCTGTGATTACAGGCAGGAGCCACCAAACTCGGCTTTTCTTTTTCTTTTTTTCTAAATATTTATTAAAAAGAAAAAACCCGCAATCCATTGTACTTACCATCAGCAAGTGCCCAGCGCCTGATTCCTTACTGCGTTCTCAAAACGTTGGTTCCAGTCCTGATTCTGATAGTTACTACTTTGTGCTACTCATGTCACCTCTCAATCTGTAAACAGTTGAGAATAAAATGAGATAATACGTAGAAACATGCCCTGAATGTATTTAGAGCCTATCAGACATTAGCTCGCTGTCTTTTACCTCTTCCCTTCTGAGTTTGAGCTTACCCAGCTGGCCTTCTTGTCTCACCAACTGTGGCCTTCATTCCTTCTGTAGGGGCAGATCAGAGGGACATAAACAAAAACCCAGGGCAAACACAGATGACTAACTTTGTAGAATCATCACATGCTTATCTATGGCTGATGATGGTAAGCTCATTGCAAATTCTTACCGTGTAGCATGTACTTATATCGTTTATGACAGTGTTTTTCAGATTTGCTGATGCTGACCTTGTCCCCTTCCCAGAAACAAAGACAGAGCCCACACTGATCTTTTGTCCCTGGAAGTCTGGACACTTCTCACACTCACTGGCATGCCAAGCAAGAGGCCCTTTGTCTTGCAGCACTGCTCTGCTGCTAAGCCAGCTTCTCTTCTGCCTTCTCTGCATTTGACACATGTTAAACAAACTTTTGCTTTGCTCTGCACCAGTCTTGACCTGCATCTCTTACTACAAATCCCATTTTCTCCATTCTTTACCAGAGTAAGGGGAAGGACCAGGAGAGAGGCAGAGGGTCACTCAGAGACCCACACACACACACCAGCATCTCTTTCTAACAGATCCAAATAATCAGTAGCTATTTATTATGTATCTACTATGTTCCAAGACAGTAAGAAACTGCTGAGTCAGCATTGCAGGATGGAAATTTCCAGTTGTGCTCTATATGGCTAGTGGTCTTAGCACTTAATTCAAATGTTTTATAAAATGTCATTGTTACAGAATCATTTGAAACTTGTTAATGATGCAGGCATCATTAATGATGCAGACCCACCTCTACATACCTCTATCTTCAAACTTCTACTTCAAGGAATCTAAGATAAGAGCCCTGGGTCCTCATTTTTTAAATGTCTATAGAAATATATTTCAGATAAATGCATAATATGAATACATAGCATAAATACTTGATTGTATCACTTTTCTTTTTCAGCAGTGGGGATTGAAACCCAGGGCCTTTGCAAATCTGCAGCATTTTTTATTTTTTATTTTGAGACAGAGTCTCACTAAATTACTAAATTGCCCAGGCTGGGTTTGAACTTGTGGTCTTCCTGCCTCAGTCTCCCAAATTGTTCACTTCTTTTCTTTTTTTTTTTTTGAGATTGTTTTCTTTCTTAGTACATGTTTGCAGCACACAGTGTTCACATTCCTTGTGTGGAACCTATATGTGTACATAACACATTTTGATTCTTCTTTCCCTCTCCTTCTTTCCACCTCTTCTCTCCTTCCACCTCTTGATCCTCTTCCTCTTTGAGAAAGATCTATCTTCCTACTATCTATCTTTTAGTTTGCTCTTTATACTTTTTTTCTAAGATAATAAAAAATGTGACATTTAGGCTTATGTATCTGATTTATGGTTTCAAGCTGCATCCATTTTTCTTACAATTACTCAAGTTTATCTTTATCCATTCACGTATTGATGGACATATGAAAAAACTTCCTTTCTTTCCCTGTGTTAGCAACCTTGTATGTTTTCTTCAGTATTCTTACAATATTCATGCATGCATATATTCTCATATTGAGTGGCTTGATCATATTCCCTTTGCTGGGGCAGAATACCCAACACCTGAAATTCAGAAAAGGAGAGATTTATTTTGGCTCACAATTTCAGTGGGTTTAGTCCATGATCAGCTGGCCGCCAGGCAGAAATGGTATGCCATAGGGGACAACTGCTTATCCATGGAAGCCAGGAAGCAGAGCACAAAGGAAGGAGACAGGGACAAGAATATACCCTTCCACGTCAGGCACCTGGTGACTTGCTCTTTCTGACCTGGTCCAATGTTCCTGACAGTGGTAATGTGCTGACCATGCCTCAAAAACATTTAGAATGATGCTCAGACATAGCATCCCTAGGTGAATGTGTTCCTTCATTTACTTTCATGAAACTGGAATTACAGGATGTGAGAGGTAAGACCTAACTTTTCTCACAACTTGAAGAAAGCTGACTTTGGGCAAGCTCAGCAGTGTGTCTTAGAGATGGAGGAAGTGAACAGTAGGACCAGCAACAGAATTCACATCTTTGACTCAGATTTAAGTGATGAGTTTGGTTCATAACGACTTCGAGGGATCTAAATGAGCATGGAAATGGATTCTCCTCCAGAGCCTTCAGGAAGGAAAGCCACCTTCCTGAGACTAAAGGAATATTTGATAGCAATGTGTGTTCTTTTAAACTTCTAAATATGTACTAATTTGTTAAGATAGCAAGAAAACACTAAGGCAGAGCCTTTGTGGTGTGGAAAATAGAGGAAGAAACAGAGCAGTGAGTCACTCAGCTATCTGACCTCTAAGGTGATTTCTAAGCAACAAATCTTTCAACTCAAAGGAAAATGCAAACAGAGTAGAGGAAGAGGAAATGAAAGCCATTGAGCTTGCCCTGCATGAGAACTCTCAGTGATGCTCAGCTTTTTAACTAGTTCTGTAAATAATATGGAGATGGCTTTTTGGAAAAAAAAAGAAATACACAAACCATCTCTATTTGACTTCAGAGTTGAGTTGAATTTTTTTTATTATAAAAGGGAAACCTGTCTTCTACTGTTCCCCATAGAAAGCCAGCCAATGGTGGACAAGTGCTGTATTTGTCTTTCTCAAGCTTGGCTCCGCTTCCGACCTTCCTCTGTTTACCTCCCCACTTTACCACCAAATTCCATATTCTCTCTTATTCCAACCTATAATTGATATCTTCATTTAATTTCTCTCTCTCTCTCTCTCTCTCTCTCTCTCTCTCTCTCTCTCTCTCTCTTGTTAACAGGAGTCAAACTCAGGGTCTTGTGCTTGCCAGGCTGAGTTACATCCCTGGCCCCTAATATTACTCTTATTTGAACATAGAACCTGGAAGGCAGAGATTGCATATTTTTTAGCATCATGACCCCAGTTATACCAAGGGTGGGTGGCTGGGTGGATGCTGCTGATTCGTCTGTCATCATCTTTGTCTGTATTTCTAAAACATCTTTTGACTAGTTCTCCCATTGTTGAAAATATTATCTTAATTTGGATTGCTTCCTTGCCTAGAAAACCATTATAAGCTTGACCTTTGTTGGAGAAACACTAAATTCACCAACAAAGACAAGATGGGGGCATCACAATTCCTGACTTGAAATTATACTATAAAGCTATGGTGACAAAAACAGTGTGGTACTGACAAAAACAAACAAACAAAAAAAACCAGACCCCAAGATCAGTGGATCAGATTAGAAGATGCAGAAACAGCTGCAAACACACTAAGCCACCTTATCTTTGACAAAGGTGCCAAATGCATTTACTGGAAGAAAGATAGCTTCTTTAATAAATGGTGTGGGAAAAGCTGACTTTACACATGCCAAAGATTAAAACTGGATCCATCTCTTTCAACCTGTACTAAGCTAAAATCTGAATGGATCAAAGATCTTAATATTAAAGCAAACATTAAATCTGCTGGAAGATAGAGTAGGTAAAACTCTTGAAGACATTGGGGTAGGCAGAGTCTTTATGAGCAAAATCCGGATTACACAGGAACTATCTCAAAGAGTCAACAACTAGGATCTCACCCTCCTGAAAAGCTTTTACACAGCAAGAGAAACCACCAACAGTGTGAAGAGACGATGCACAACATGGGAGAAAATGTCAGCTAGCTGTTCCTCAGATTAGATCAGTGGATCTAATCTGATCCACTGATCCTCAGACAGCTGTTCCTCCAGAATGTATAAAGAACTTGAAAAAATTCAATCCTCCCAGATTTAAAAACCAATCCAATAATGTGCATCTGAGATGATACACACTTCTCAGATGAAGAAATACAAACAACAAATAAATACATGAAAAATGTTCAACATCACTCACTGGTCATTCAAGAGACGCAAATTAAAGCAACACTGAGATTGCGCCTCACCCCAGAAAGAATGGCTACTATCAAGAAATCAACCAGTAACAAATGATGGAGGAGCAATGGGGAATAAGGAGACCCCCCCCCAATGTTGGTCGGAGTGCAGCCACTGTGGAAATCTGTGTGGAGAGTTCTCAAAAAACTCAGATTGGAGATCCCCTTCAGCTATTCACCTTCTGGATATCTTCTCAAAAGAATTAAAAACATCATCCCACAGTGAAAACTCTTAAAAGAGAGAAAAATTACAGTTATCTCACTCATTTTTCTGATTTCCCAAAAGAAATACCCTAAACATGATTAGTTCTTTAAAGGAAGAAAGCTTAGACTCTCTATTTTTAACTTAACAATGAGAATTTAAACAAAGAAAAAATCAAATTCTCTTAGAATAGCTATTGTCTTTATTCTCTCTTATGAAGAAGGAGCAGATATACCTGAAATTTCTCAGATATCTGGAAAATGGCAGCTCTGAAATGCTGGAGTCTTAAGAGACGTTGTCCTATGTAACACTTGCTTTTGAGAGGTGAGCAGTACTGTCTTAATTTTACAAATGAGAAAATGGAATGCAGAGAAGTGAAGTCAATCTGAGAGCTCTTTGGAGAATGATGAGAAAGGGAGACTGCTATTACTGGTCACTGTATTCTGGTGTGACACACCCCTGGTGTTGACCCCACTCCTACTTTTCACCTTCCTGGTGCTGACCACTCTCTGGTTTTAAAACACACACACACACACACACACACACACACACACACACACACACACACACACCGTGCTGACACCCCCTGGTGCTGACCTCCCCGCCCCCCCCCCCGTGTTGATCCTGCTCCTACTTTTCACCTCCTTTGTGCTGACACCCCTCCCCGCCCCCCACCCCCCCCCCGTTGTGACCCCCTCCATGGTGCTGACCCGCCCCTGGTGCTGACCCCACTCCTACATTTCACCTTTCTGGTGCTAATCCCCCCTGGTGTTGACGCCACCACAGGTGCTGACTCCCCAGGGGTTGTCCCCACTCCTAATTTTGAACTTCCTGGTCTGACCCCCCTGGTGCTGACACCTCCTGCTGTTGACCCCACTCTTACTTTTCACTTTCCTGGTGCTGACCCCAACCAGTGCTGACCACCCCTGGGGCTGACCCCACCCTGGTGTTGACTCCACTCCTACTTTTCAACTTCCTGGTGCTGAACCCCCAGGCGCTGAAACCCCTGGTGTTGACACCTGCCTGGAGCTGCCCCCACCCTGGTGTGACCCCCCCTGGTGGGGACCCCCCCTTGTGTTGACCCCCTCGATGTGGAATTCACTCCTACTTTTCACCTTCCTGGTGCTGATCTACCCCTGGTACTGACCCCCGTGGTGCTGCCCCTCCCCTGGTGCTCACTCCCCCTTGTTTACACCAATCATATTTTTCACCTTCCTGGTGCTGATTCCTCTACTGTGTTGACCCTTCCCCGGTGCTGATCCCCCCCCCCCGCCGTGCTGACTCTCCCCAGATGTTGACCCCACTCCTACTTTTCATCTTCCTGGTGCTGACCCCCCCCCCCCCGTGCTCACCACCCCCTGTTGCTTACACCCCCAGTGTTGACCCCACTCCTACTTTTCACCTTCCTGGTGCTGACCACTCTCTGGTTTTAAAACACACACACACACACACACACACACACACACACACACACACACACACCGTGCTGACACCCCCTGGTGCTGACCTCCCCGCCCCCCCCCCCCGTGTTGATCCTGCTCCTACTTTTCACCTCCTTTGTGCTGACACCCCTCCCCGCCCCCCACCCCCCCCCCGTTGTGACCCCCTCCATGGTGCTGACCCGCCCCTGGTGCTGACCCCACTCCTACATTTCACCTTTCTGGTGCTAATCCCCCCTGGTGTTGACGCCACCACAGGTGCTGACTCCCCAGGGGGTGTCCCCACTCCTAATTTTGAACTTCCTGGTCTGACCCCCCTGGTGCTGACACCTCCTGCTGTTGACCCCACTCTTACTTTTCACTTTCCTGGTGCTGACCCCAACCAGTGCTGACCACCCCTGGGGCTGACCCCACCCTGGTGTTGACTCCACTCCTACTTTTCAACTTCCTGGTGCTGAACCCCCAGGCGCTGAAACCCCTGGTGTTGACTCCTGCCTGGAGCTGCCCCCACCCTGGTGTGACCCCCCCTGGTGGGGACCCCCCCTTGTGTTGACCCCCTCGATGTGGAATTCATTCCTACTTTTCACCTTCCTGGTGCTGATCTACCCCTGGTACTGACCCCCGTGGTGCTGCCCCTCCCCTGGTGCTCACTCCCCCTTGTTTACACCAATCATATTTTTCACCTTCCTGGTGCTGATTCCTCTACTATGTTGACCCTTCCCCGGTGCTGATCCCCCCCCCCGTGCTGACTCTCCCCAGATGTTGACCCCACTCCTACTTTTCATCTTCCTGGTGCTGACCCCCCCCCCCCCGTGCTCACCACCCCCTGTTGCTTACACCCCCAGTGTTGACCCCACTCCTACTTTTCACCTTCCTGGTGCTGACCCACTCTAGTGCTAACCCCCCCCCCCCAGTGCTGACCCTCCCCTGGTGCTTACCTCCCCCTGGTGCTGACTCCCCCCCTGGTGCTGACTCCCCCGTGTCGACCCCACTCCTACTTTTCACATTGTTGGTGCTGACCCCTCCCTGGTGTTGACCCCACTGGTGCTAACCCTCCCGTGGTGCTGACGCCCCCCTGGTGCTGACCCCACTCTACATTTCACCTTTCTGGTGCTAATCCCCCCTGGTGTTGACCCCACTCCTACTTTTCACCTTCCTGGTGCAGACCCTCCCCTGGTGTTGACCACTCACCTGGTGCTGACCACCCCTGGTGTTGACACGCCCACTGGTGTTGACCCCCCTTTGGTGCTGACACCCCCTGGTCCTGAACCTCCCTGGTACTGACCACCCCCTGCTGCTGACCCTCCCCTGGTGCTGACTCCCCCTGGTGCTGACATCCCCTTGTGTTGACCCCAATCCTACTTTTCACCTTCCTGGTGCTGAACAACCCTGCTGCTGACCACCCCCTAGTGCTTACCCCCACCCCGTGCTGACCCCCCCCCCATGGTGAGGACTCACCCTGGTGTTGACCCCCTTCTGGTGTTGAGCCCACTCCTAATTTTCACCTTCCTGGTGCTGACCCCTCCTTGGTGTTGACCCCCCTGGTGCTGACCCCCCTGTTGCTGACACCCTTGATGCTGAACCCAGTCCTAATTTTCACCTTCCTGGTGCCGCCCCCCCTCCCCCCCCATGCTGACCCCACCCTGGTGTTGACATATTCCTACTTTTCAGCTACTTGGTGCTGACCCCCCCTGGTGCTGACCACACCCTGGTCTTGACCTCACTCCTACTTTTCACCTTCCTGGTG